TCAGTTTCACAACCTTCTACTTTCATTATTTTAGAATTTATTTGTCAAGTTGTAACTGTGTTTATAGTCCCCGCTGTAACAATAATAAGCGATATACTTAAGGTACATCGTTACCGTATACGTGGGTCCTTCATTCCACAACTGAGCGTTTTTTAATGCACTTTCTGCCGTGCACCACCACATGTGGAACCAGCTCCCCACTGAAGTATTGCCGAACCAATTCGACTAGAGCGAAGAAAAGAGCGTACTAATTCTTAAAAGGCCGCACTTGCGATCTTTCTGGCATTGAGTGCCCATGGGCTAATATCGGATGAGCCTCGTGCCCGTTTGCCCCCTGCTCTATTAAAAAAAGTTACTTGTGCAAAGCTTATAAATAATTTCAGTTATTAGCGTTAGTATAATTTTTGGAATAACTTGCAGTGTCATTCTAAGAGATGTACCGCATGGGTAAGTTATGATTTACTTAGACACAACGTTTTTATTTAACTTACTGCAAAGGGAAGAAAAATATAGAAGAAATTTGCCAAAACACACACAGATACTGAATATAATAAGTATTTTAATGTATTAAGAATATATCTTGCCACAGGACACCCAAAATAAAACTTAATCAAGCCCTGTTAAGTAAATCAATGGCGCTACAACCTTTTTAGGTCTGGACCTCAGATTTCTGTATCTGTTTCATGATAATTTGTCAATCTAATAGGCTGGTAGGTGATCAGCCTTCTGTGCTTGACACTCGCCGTCGACTTAAAGGGTCAAAGGCAAGCCGGTCTCCTCACGATGTTTCCTTCGCTGTTCGAGCGAATGTTAAATGCGTATCTAGAAAGAAAGTACATTGGTGTCCATTGTCCACTGGTGCACAGATCGAACCTACGACCTCATGGATGAGAGCAGCACGCTGAGGCCAACACTGCTCTATCAAGATTTACTACTTATTAATATAATATATTATTAATTTAGCGTTAGATATAAAGATCGTAACGGCGTAAACTGTTTTATGATTACAGTGCTCTGGAATTGCTTGCGAAGCTGTTGTGAGTACAAAAAAAGTAGCAATTAAATGAGATTTCTTAGTTATAGGTGACCATTTAGTTATAAAGGAGGTACTACCAGTGCCGGTACTATGTATCTCTAAATAATGAATTAAATGACGATATTTATTTCATTATATGAGTTCTTACAATAATAGGTAACATACTACACCTATGTGTTAAGTTAGTTAAGCTACCCAGTATGTAGTAGGTACTAACATGAGTTAAATTTGAAGTCATTCTTATAATTTCTTAGTTACTTGCCATTTTATGACAAAATTAGAATTAACTAAGCCAATCCAAACCAATAAAATATTGCCGAAATTTAATCTGGTTGATTAACAGTACTATTGGTTTCGAGAGTTACAGAGTGGAGGGAAGTATAACAAAGTTTCTCAAAGCAATCTCTAATCTTTAAATTTTTTTTAGTATTCCTATACATCCTCTTTTGTTTACTTTTTATGTCCCGTTATTACTTAGCATTATACGAACCCTATAATCGATTGTCCGAAACCCGGTGTTGCAGCAATGTAATGCATTTTATAGTCGTAAAGAATTTCTTGTGATCTTGACGACTTAAAGATCAAAATATCCTACAACAAATTGAAAAACAACCCTTTGTCTTGGACTCAGATTTCTGTACGTGATAATTTTTTGGTTTAATAATTAGGTGATCTTTCTTCTGAGGTCTAAGATGTCGGTCTTCTCATGATATTCCTTCCCTATGTGCTATGTGCTAGTGATCACTGCGCACACAAAAGGAAAACTAGAGGTGTATGATCCCAACTACCTTGGAGTTGACAGTCAAACGCCCAATTTGCTAGGATAACATATCTCTGTAAATTTGTAGTAACATATTTTATAATTCTCTACAGTGTAAAGGACGTCGCTGTCGTATAATGGAGAGTCAAGCAGGAAAAGTAAAAGCTAACTCCGCAACAAATGTAGGAGACCAAGAGTTTCAGCGCATTTCGAAACGCACAAATTTTAAAAACGTTATCTAATATATAAAATTCTCGTGTCGCGGTGTTTGTAGTTAAACTCCTCCGAAACGGCTTGACCGATTCTCATGAAATTTTGTGTACATATTGGGTATGTCTGAGAATCGGACAACATCTATTTTTCACCCTCCTAAATGTTAAGGGTAGTCCAGTCCACGCCTATTTTTTTTTTAATTTTTAGATAAATTTTTAATTTTATTTTTTTTATTATACAGCATAAAAAAAATACATACAACCCCTAATTTTCACCCCTTTACGATCAACCCCCTATTTTTTATTATAAATGATATACATTTCAAAACGACATTTACCAGGTCAGCTAGTTGAAATATATTTTTTACCAGACAGCTTAGTTAGGCGTCTTTCTCTGATGGCATATAATAATTATTGATTTATTTAAGCAGACAATTACATGGCTAATTAACTAACTAAAAATTCTATCTACATTAAGCCACTCTTTTGATTAAATTTTATATTACCTTTGTTCTGCACCAAAACTGAAACTTATGTATTATATTACCGAACCGATTTCAATGTATTATGTAATTAATTTCTCTTTTGCATACGAAAGAAGCAGCGTATTGTATTTTAAAATGATTACAAAAGCCAGGACGTACTATAAATAAAATTTATCGGTAAATAAAAATCGATATAATTCTGAAGATATTTATTCATACAAGTGTACATAGGTTATTATTTGGAGAAAAAATCTTAAAACATTGCTCTTAACATACTATATACATTTGAATAGATTTACTTAGTAACTAGTGGACCCCACAGACGTTGTCCTGCATGATATTTAAAGCGATTAGGATATTAAGCAAAGTATGAAAGTACCGACTGCAGTGCCATCTGCCGGGCTGATTTGTGAATCTAAACCATTCCCAGATCCCCTTGAACACACACAAAAAATTTCATCAAAATCGGTCCAGTCGTTTAGGAGGAGTTCAGTCACATACACACGCACAGAAGAAATATATATATTAAGATAACTATTCAATATAAAATTGAATTTAAACAATAAACATTTTTTACACCTAAAATATACACACAAAACAAAAATGAACACGAATTTTACTTAACAAATAAAAGCACATAATTCAGTTGAATAGGTTAGGTCAAACAAGTGACACAAGTAGATGCTTTATCGGAAACTGGAAAGACTTGTCATTCTCTGTTTGAAGATTTTGCGAGATGATGAACGGGGTTCAAACATTCTCAGAGCACCTATTAAACAGCTTAAAAAGGAGTAAGCTATAGGATACGACGCTATACCAATAGAAACAATTAAAGCTTCTAGCGATACTGCGTACGGTGAGGACACTTTTCTACACAAGAAGGCTCTGCAAACGAGATTAAACCGAGAACGTACCCGCTAAATAAAATGTGGAGTCATAAATGATTCGTCGAACGCTAGTGGTAGTTATAAATTACTAGGCGAGCAATCGGCTTATGACTATCTTCCATCGTGAACATCTGCGTAAATCTATCTGCTAAAGTAGGTATACAATTAATAAGTAATGCCTAAAACTACACGCTGGTAACGGAACAATTATAAACTCCACGGACTCACATATTATTAGTACCTATGCAAAAAAGGCTGTACCAAGATTTGCCGCAATTGCCGCAAAAAACCGCCTCTTCGCAAGATAATGCTACAAATTAGAAAGTAATGAAGTTTTTATTTATAGAAATTTCTCCCGAATAGGCGGGACCCGTAAAAATACTAATAATCGAAAATGCTTTGTGATTTGTAATTCAACTTACATATTCCTTGAAGTAATAGCGTCTTATAAATCCATGAACGTCGGCTGCACGCACGGAAAAACAATGTCACGTTCCGCCTAAGCGGATGCGCAAGCGAGAGCGCGGAACAAGCGATAGAGAGGCACGATCAGCCTAAGCGTTTGGCTTATTACGCATTTGAATTAACGAGTGTAAGAAATATATGTTAATTTATCGAAAAAAAAATATATATAAAGTAGCAATTTTTCATCAATGTTTTCTTATGACATTTTTACGTCAAATTCTGAAAAAATCTGTAAAGTCGGACCATCCGTAAACCGATTTTTTTTATATTAATTTTTATTTATATATTTCAAATTGTAATACTGACGGCTGCTGCTGCTGAGTCTCTACGACTATATAGTGGCGGTGAAACGTCACTTCTTATTAAGCAACAAAAAAATCGGTTCTCTGTAAAGTCGGTTTACAGACGATAGTTGTGTACGCGACAACGTCATAAGAAAATACTGATGGAATGGTTGCATTCTCGTTCCGCGCTCTCGCTTGCACTTCAAGCCTTAAATGGAACGCCTCAGAGCGAGGTAACGCCGCATGAGTCATGTTTTTTCGTGCGTGCAGCCGGCTCCATCGAATTATAAGACGTCGTCACGTCAAAAGACTCCTTAAGAGGCTTAAGCGGCCTGACTGAAGGCAAGGGCAATAGCGATTCCAATCGTCGACGACCAGTCACTTTCCGTGCGGCTTGATCCCTTGGGGTTGCGTGAAGATTTGTAGTCTCTCTGCATCTTTTACCGCATGGTAATACCTGCAGCTAGGTTTCATCATCGGACGTCAAGGCAGAATACAAAATACCATCCGTATCATCTCTACGTCCACAGTTTCTGTCGCGCACCACTACTATGTGAAACCGGCTGCCCGCTGAAGTATTTCCGAACCAATTCGACTTAGGGTCCTTCAAGAAGAGCGAAGCAATTCTTGAAGGTACTTGAGAGAATTCTGGCAATGTAACTGTCCATGGGCGGCGGTATCACTTAACATCAGATGAGCCTTCTGTACGTTTGCCTCCTATTACATAAAAAAAGGATGGGCACTGTTGCACCAAGAATAAAATCCAATGCCTATGCTAAAATGAATACAATTATTATAGTATCTTATTATGTAAAGTTTAAAATAATATTGTAACACGTAATACTGATTATGTCGTTTTACTGGCCGTTCTTCACAGAGTTGATGATGTATGGAGAATGGGCACGACGGAGTAAGGGGGCGGTGCTGGTGGTGGGACTGTTTCACTATAGTGTCCGTGGGCACGACGGTGGTTATGCAGTGCTGTCCCCTAAAAATAATGTCGTAAGACCCGGTTAGATATTGTCTAAAATGTAATAGTTAAATGGCAGAAAATTTATTATTCTTTATTTATAACCCCACTGATTCTGGTTATTATCTGTTCTTACTTCATGAACAGAAGTAGAGAATTCGCAACCCCTACAGCATGGGGCAATCACACTGTTTCATTTATTGACAGAACCAATTTTGTGCTCAAGCTGGGTCCTTCATGTAAACTAATAGTACTTTGACAAATGACCATGAAACAGATATCTGAGGCCCAGACGGAAAAAGGTTGTAGCGCTAATGATTTATTTTTTTATTTGACTAACTTGCACACACAAACATCGGGAACGCTCTCGGAAGTTACTATACTCTGATTTTTCATTCAGTAGAATTCAGACATTTCATGAGTGTTGCTACTAAAAAACATCTCCACCGAAGAAAGGACAAATTTGACCCATTTGAGGGCGATAAAAATTAAATGCTTCGTATTTTTATCTTTCACCTACAAAAAGTTAAATCTTAATATTTACTTATTCAAGTGACCTAATACAAAAATAACAAATATTTCAATATCACGAACAATATATCGAATTAACTTTAATTACTTTATTTTATTATTTAGCTGCTCACTATCACTTCCTACTAATACCAGGTTTAGTAAACCTTTAAAAAATAATGTTATCTTTACTTGTGCGTTTTTTACTGTTGGTGATGAAAAGGGACGTAATTATGACTCGCCGTTAAACCACTATTAATGTGGAGCACCGCTCTTAATAAAATGGATACATTCAGAAACAAATAAAATGTATGTGTAGACTCGTATTGAAATTGAAAAATGTGCCAGGCCAAAAGGTTTGCCATCTCTGACATGTCAAAAAATTATAGCTATTATAATTATACGTAATTGAAAATCTGAGTATAGATAAAAAAATATTAAAATTGACTGCACAAGTGAAAACATAAAAATACATGATCATGATAACTATGTAGGTATATTAATATCAATGAATCTGACCATAACATACCTGTATAAACCGCTCGCCGCACAGCTCACAGACGTAGGGTTTGTCGCCGGTGTGTCGTCGGACATGTAGATTGAGATCGTTGCTTTGAGAAAACGCCTTTTCACAATACACACATTTGTATGGCTTAACGCCCGTATGAACGCGCATATGTCGAGAGAGCTTGTTGCTACGGCTGAAGCCTGAGAACAAAAAAAAATTCAAATTTCCAATCCTATTTATTATTCTTATTTAATTTCGATTTCTTCGCAATTATAATGGATTAACCAGTACTGTACTTATGCCTATCTCATACCTAATCCGCTGCCTTGCTGGTAATTTTTTAAAATTTATTTTTATTCTATTTTCTTAACATTTATTTTTACCAAAATTATCATATATTTTAGATAAAAGAGCTTGTAACACAGTGTCTCTCAAAAAGGGGCGCCCCACAAGGGGGCAATCGAAATCAGCTGGATATAACACAACGTGGAGACTTGAGACTGAAGCTAACCATATTGAAACCTTATATAAAATCTCTGTACAGCAATCATGTAACGCAAAGATCTCACTAAATTAAAATAATTAATATAGAAAAATCCTAATCAAAATTTTTTGTAATTTGAATACCAATTTTTCATTATGTTTTGAAATTTCAATATCATCATTCCTTAAGTGATCAATTCAATTTTTTAATATACAAATTATGAATGTTACATAGCAACATAAGAATTTCAGGTAGGCTAAGGTGGGGCATGGCACAAAAAAGTTTGGGAAACACTGTTGTAACATATACTGTAGATATAGTATTATGTATGATGTGTTTAACTTGAACTACTTTTTATATATTTACATAAAATAAAATATAAATAAATAAAACTAGTCAGAATTTATTGTAACAGATTTTTTTCACTACCTTCAAAAGGAGCATTAATTCTACGTGTATTAATAAAGAATAAATTACTATTTATTTCTAATGCATTTGTTTACGTATTGTGTGTGTGTATTTAAAATGTTGAAATCACCTTTCCCACAAACGCCGCAAATACAAGGTTTTTCTCCCGTATGGGATCGCCTATGGCACTGTAGGTCTGACGAACGCGGAAAACCTGAAATTCAATACGTAAATATAACCTCAGGGCATTGAGTACTATTCCTGAAAACCCATTTTCCTCATTGTTTGCTATTCAAAGGAATCCAAAGAATGAAAAAGACTTCAAAATAATACACTTTAATCTTACGTATATGTCGCAGCCAAGTAGCCTAATAAGCCGATCCATTAACAGCATTGCCTCTTAACTAAACAGCGCCGTTTAACAAGAGGCCTGAAAGATATTTAGCCAGTTGATCAAACAGCTAGGCAGATATTTTTTTCCTAGTCTGTTGACTGTTAAGGTGCGCTTACACGAGGGCAATAATTGCTTGGCAACACGAATGGACCGATCTGGAGCAATTAATGGAGCAATTTAAATAAATTTCAATAAATTATTTCGGCGATATTGCTTCTAATTGCTCCAGATATTTCATATCGCTCAATGTCGCAGATACGAATTGACGAATATCCAATGGACTTGGAAATTCCTAGCAATTTTTGTATATGTCTCATTCGCACTTGTTTGTTTTGCGGCTTGCCGTTTTGCTTCCGCGGGGAGAGCGAGAGGTTTAAATAATAATAATTTCTAAATACTTTATTCAAGAGTAATTCAAAGTCTGTTCGTGACATTCTAGTAAAGTTTTTGAATAATATATCATCTAATTATTTACACAATGATAATTGCGGCCAAAAACGATCGCACCCAGATACACCTATTCCTTTTCTTTCTTTTGTGTTTTTGATTAATAATAAAGAAAGCGCTACAAGCCGCCGCAGCAAGAACAATGTCGTCTATAGCGAGCGAATACTGAATTGCTCGTGTAGGACAGTATTGCCTAGTTGATGAAGTTGCGCCATATCGCTCAATATTGTATTGCGCAGTATTGATGCTTGTTGCCGTTGCCGTTAATTGCTTGATGTAGTCGTGACGTCATAGTTGACGAGTATTAACTGGAATTGAGCAATTTTAGTTGCCCGTGTAAGCGCACCTTTACTTCAAATTTAGTTCAACTTTCTGCCACTCTTAAACTCGAAACCCCTCTTAACTAAACCAACAGATTGAACGGTTAATTAAACTAGTTGGCTGCGATATATATATAGGTATAGATTTTATTATACTATATTTATCACAAGACGTAATTACCTATGCTGGACTGAACACTGGCTTTGCTGACACTTTTTTATTACATTATCATGTTATCATTATCAAAATAGATTTTGATGTTTTTTTTGTGTTCAAGTGAAAGAATGGTTTAAATTTAAACATTTGCATTTAAGACGTGTGTTTCTACGTCGCAGTATATAATTTATAATAATTTCGGGTTTAAATCTGAAAGAATCTTACCTTTTCCACAGAAATCACATTTATACGGTTTTTCGCCTGTGTGTCTGCGCATGTGTACGATGAGGTTCGATGAATTGGAGAAGCCACGGCCGCAGTACAGGCAAAGACAGGAGCTAGTACTCCCGCCGGTCCCGCCAGATTCATGTACACGCATGTGTGTTCTGAATTTAATAAACGTTTATGAGTATAAATAAATAACTAATATCTAATAAGATTTTAGTGGGTTACCTCACTCGGTAACCCACTCGGTCTTAGTTTTCACCCTGATCTGGTACTTCGTATTTGATGACTGACATATTCTATCAATATTATATATCTTCTGATAAATCAATGATTATTTACAAATTATTTTACTAGGGGGGGCCGCGCGGCATTAGGGGGCCGATGGCTGACCATGCGTCATACTTGTGAACGGGTGCTACTTGTGGTGACTAGTCGTACTTAAATTCGTATATGCAGTGATGTTAATTATTTCGACTATGTATTTGCGTGACGTTCCCACGAGAATGTAAGTGCGTGCTCCTATTTCACCATGCCTTCTGCTGATAGGGGACAACTCTTTGTTTTTAATTTATTTTATTGTTATTAATTACTTAAGATGTCATGTGGAACATGGTGTAATGGTTGCAGTTCCTTACAATCGTTGTGTAAAACAAAAAACTTCAAAAGACCTTCATAAGACGTGTACATTGTGTATATGAATAAATGATTTTGAATTTTTTTTTACTCCATAAAGGTCGATTCACACATATCAGTGAGCCCACAGTTCCGGCACAGTACCGCATCAGTGATAATTATTCTTTCAAACATTCTCTATGGATGTATTCACACTTGTCAGTGTCAGTGTCGTCTCAGTACCGTCAGTGTCAGTGCCGGCACCGGCCATCACGTATTATCACATATTTTATCACGGATCACTGACGCCGCGTTATTATTTGTTACATTTTATTTATTGCAGAAGAATATTGAAGCAGCTCTCTGACATTTTAAAATATTTTCTTTAACTAATTCTTTGTATAATATGATGAATTCTCCTTCCGTCTCTCTTAATTGCCATGCTTCATGCACCCATTTTCTTTTTTTTCCTTGATGCTGCTCTTCTTCTTCGTCTAAAGCAACAGCTATCATTGCTAGCTCCGTAGTATTGAATAGAGCCATAATCACGTTACTTGACAACGCGACGGACACGTTTTCACTGAAGCTCCGTAAACTGAGTACTGACATGTGTGAATTGAAGCACTGACGCACCACTGTAGCACGGATACGGAACTGTAACGGTACTGTGCCAGAACTGTGGGTTCACTGATATGTGTGAATCGACCTTTATGCTTTTAAACCCATATTTTATATAGATTTCTAAAGGTGTAAAAACTTAATATTCACCTGAGACTGCATTTCCTGTGAAACTTCTTATTGCATGTATTACATTCAAACACTTTGTCGCTCGGCTTGTGAACTTTCGCGTGTCTTGCGAGAAGATCCTTCCTGAAATTTAAAATGTTTTTATTTTTAAACTGTACAACGTACATTGATCTGCTACTCTTAACTTCCTTACTCAATTCGATATAGTCCCGTAGGGATTTTGCCTTATGATTGTTCTGAAAAACTATTTGAAATTGCTATTGGGATTAACAGAGTACCAGTTCTATTACATTAAAATCCTAGACGTAAAAAAAATATTAAAGAATATACAAAGAGAACTAATATGTTTTTTGTTTTTAGGTCTGTTCTAGTCGTAAACTTCGGTATGGTTAAGGTTCGTAACCCAAAGATTTTGCATAAAAGTACATCAAAACAGTGGCGGTACAACCTTTAAGGCCTTGGCCTCAGGTTTCTGTATCTGTTACGTGATTCTATTAGACAAGTAGGTGATCAGCCTCTTGTGCCTGACACACATTGTCAACTTATGGGTCTAAAGTCGGTTTCATGATGTTTTCCTTCACGTTCGAATGTCAAATGCGCACATAGACATGTCCATAGGTCACAGCCGATAACGAACCGACGACCACAGGATGAGAGCCGCACGCACCCACTAGGCCAACACTGTTGATTTTTTTATTTTATTTATTTATATTATCACGCCTTTTTCCCGAAGGGGTGGGAAGATACCACGGAACCACACTAGTGACGGTCCTGATATCTCTCGCTTCATCTACTTTCATGACATTCACCATGCATGCTCGTGGGTTATGGGTACTTTTAACTTGTACCTCGTGGATTCGGTCCAGGTAAGGCTGCTTTGTATATCCTACTTCTACTTAACAGCTTCTCATCTATCCGTTCTATATGGCTAAACCCCCCGCATATGACACTCTTATTTTTCATCCTTCTACCACGAACCCCCATTTTTGATTAACAAGACCGCTAGCTATACATAAATACAAAGTGTTACATGGGAACTAACCTGCAGAATTTAGTTGAACATATATCGCATCGGAAGGCGGGATCGCGGTCATTGGGCGGCGGGAGCGGCGGTCGAACGCGCACGGGCTGACCGCGATGCGAACGCAAAATGTGTTTGTTAAGCGTTGCCGCATGGGCGAAACGTGCCGCGCACAATTCACACCTATATAAGACCGGACAAGTTTATTTTTTTTATTTAAGAAGGTAACAAGATAAAAAGAAATGTAAGCTATAGTCGGATAAGTGTCCTGCCTCCAGTAAAATTGCTGCACAGAAGAGAAAATGCTTTCAATTGGAAACAATAAAATATAAAAATTAAAAGGATACATACAAGGACAAAACAATAAAAATTAAGCTTAAAATTGCGCTGAAAGTAGTTTAACATGACGAATTATAATCTTTTCAGTGAATATTAAAAGAGCGTACCCAATCTTAACAGGTCGACAACACACTATAAAGCGTATCAATTTTTAAAAGGCCGTCGACGCACTAAATACCCAAATACACTAAATTCTTGAAATGCATAGTCAATTTATGAACAATAGGGAAGCGGAAACAACAAAAACAGATTATCTCAAATAAGAATACTTAAGACTAACGATATTTATCCGGATTATATCCACCAGAAACGCGGGCATACCCATATCTAAAAAACTACCGCCGAATTTGATGAAGCTGTACACACTACTGTACAATCGGCGCTTATAAATCCTGAAACGCGCTAACAATGCTAATCCCACCACTAAAGATACGAGTATAGGACTACTAGACCTTCGCCACCAGGCCTTCGGGCCAGTCAGTGGATAGACTTGAGTTTAGGTTGGTAACAGTACATCCATCCTCCACAAATTTGGAATTTACCTCATAAATTAAAGTTCCAATATATCTAATATATAAAATTCTCGTGTCACAATGTTCGTTCCCATACTCCTCCGAAACGGCTCGACCGATTCTTATGAATTTTTTTATGCATATTCAGTATGTCTGAAAATCGGCTACTATCTATCTTTTAAACCCCCTAAGTGATAAGGGGTGTCCACAACAAAACATTTTTTTGACTATTTTTTGGCATTAAAAAATACATACAACCCTTAATTTTCACCCCTCTACGATCAACCCTTATTTTTTATTTGTTAATTAAAACTTATAACTTAAGCTGTGAGGTTTATATATAGAGAAAAATTCACTGACCAACCTAAAAAAAATCATTTCGGAAAACCGAACATTTTCTGGGGTAGCATAGCAAAGTTTTCCATGTTGGTAAGTACTAGTGTACCAATATAAATGTAAAATAAAAAATATTCACCGTAATGACCGTTCCCGATGCGTACAACGTGTTCTATGGCGCGCCGCAGCCGCCACCGAGGCGAACGTCTTGCAGCAAAGCGAGCATCGCGGGGACATCTCCGGGTGATCATCGTCCCTGTGTCTTGCAATCGCCTCGCGACCGGCACAGACGCACCCGCAATAATCGCATATAAATATATCCGAGACACATTCCTGTGTAACAATATATGTAAAGATTGATTGATTGTGCAAAAGCGATAATTCTAGTTAAAATATTATAGTGAATTACGATAATAGGATTAATCATAAACAAGAAGTGGTTGAGGAAGTTTTTGCCGCCACTATGTGGAACCAGTTGCCGAATGAAGTATTTCTGAACCAATTCAACTTATGGTACTTCAAAAAAAGGGCAAACCAATTCTTAAAAGGCCGATAACGCACTTGCGAGCCTTCTGGCAATGTTAGCCTCCATGGGTGGCGGTATCAATTAACATCGGGTGAGATCCTGCGTTTGTTCCCAGTTATATTAAAAAAACAACAAAAGTGTGTTGCGCGCGCTCAAAATTAACAATCTAGGTTATGTCAACATCAAATTGTCAGTTGTCACCCGTTTTGGCTGTCAGCAATATAGCCCAAACAGTATAACTAAATATGTGATAGCTATTCCGAAGAAGCAACGTTACAAATATATTTAATATAGCAAAAAAAAATTTAGATGTTCACCGTTCACTGTCTGCATTGTGCATTTAAAAATATACATAAACAGTGGCGCTATAACCTCTAGGCATTTGGTTGTGTAATATATTCGACTTAACAGTCAGGAAGCGGATTAGACTATTGTGCCTGACGCAAGCCTTACAAACGAGTTAAGCACGGACTATAACTCCCAGGTATCCATCACTTGCGTTGATATTTGTATACAGAAATGTAAGAAGTTATTTGGGCTCAGTTTGCCAAATTTAAATTCTAAGCTGATGCTAATGACTAAGCTTGGCAATAAAATATAAATACAGATACCAATGAATGTTTCACACAAATAATACTTTAAATATATAGCTACGTTTCATTGCAATTTCTATTTAAATTAAATCTTCGCATTTTATTTTATTAGTTATTTTAAAAATTACAATTAATTTCTCCGTACAGTTCTACACTCTCAAATTTATGTTTTAGTACCATATGACAAAAACGTGTTTTTACAATGATACATTCAATTTTTATCTGGCTTTAAGATTAACTGAAGTGTTATTTGTAAACAAAATCTATCAGACCTGACCTGACCTTTGTTTCTGAATACGATTGTATAAACTTGCCATGGCTCTGCTTCGACGGTCTTACAATACAATTACTCATCTGAATCTCACCATAAGAATACCGCACGAATAAATGAAATTACCATTGAAGAAGCATAACACACCGTACATTCTTATTTATAATATTATTGTCATATTGTAAATATTTTATTAAACAATAATTAACAAAAAATATATACTTTTTGTGTCATGTCGAATAATACAGTATCAAAATAATCTAAAAACTTACCGTATCGGGAATTTTTTCAATTATTTCATGTAATGTCACCTCTCCACATACATCTTTGCTCATACCACCGGCGGGTTGTACCTAAAACACCCATCACTATATCATAATACAATGGGTCCCCGTATCAAGTCGGAAAATGCATATATTATCTGTATAATGGTGTTCCTTTTAGTCGATTAGGTACAATACTTTTTAAATCATTGAAATCGGTAAATTGGTTGCGAAGATATTACACATTTTGTACAAACCAACCGCGGGGCGGCCGAAATGCTCATGTGACGTCACGATTTCCCTACCGCCCGCGCGCTCGCTCTCCGCCATTCATTTATTAAAGTTTACTCGATCTGCGCGGGTCGTGTTGTGGTTTTGTGGTTTTTATGTGAAAATATGCCGCATTATAAATACTGTATAGTACCGAAATGTACTAATACTTCAACTAGTACACCTGAAAAACTGTTTTTTAATGTGCCAAAGGACCTGAAAGTGCGCAAAAAATGGTGTACTGTCATGAAGAGGGATGACAAAGTTCCGCTTTCGTGCCACACTGTAAGATATTGTTGCGAGGATCATTTTGATGCAAGTAGCTCCATATACCAACTATCATCATCATTACTCATGTGGTAAACAGTAACTTAGTAAAACTTGCTTACGAATGTTAAAGAAAAATACAGGGTCGTACTAGGTATATTTCAATGAGTAAATAAATGATAAAAAGTGTAAGTAGTGAAGTTTCTAATAACCCTTCCTCAGTAGTCGGGTAAAAACCAGGGTCGTACTCAGGCTCAACTAAATGAAATGTGCCGTTCCCGGGAATATTTCCCAATGCGGGAATATTCCCGAAGTTCCCCGGAACATAGGGGATCATTCCGGGAACAAAGGGGAACACTCCCGCCTTGGGGAATATGTATCTGTAGGTAATAAAACTGTAGCCAAAGTGAATTCTATACATTGAATATTTTTTGAATAATCGAGTTATGAGAGCTCCATACACGCAATAGAAACCAAAAATATTGTTTTTGAATTTCTTGTCTGTCTGTCTGTCTGTTGTAGGTACGCTATTCACGCGAAAACCGCTAGACGTATTTTACGCCTTTTTTTTAAACTCTTTGCGAATATTTTTACGCCAATTTATTACTTTGTTTTTCTGCTTTTGTTTTCTAAAATTATGATGCCTACCATATATTAACATAAATTTATTATATTTTTAGGTGGAAGCTGATATGGAGAACTACGTCAAGTATAAGCTTGTGGGAGGACAGCTTAGATTGAAGAAGGGAGTATTGCCTCATAAGTTTGATTGCCAAAAACCTAAAAAAATAGAGCTGAGAGACCCGGATTTAAGAAAAGGCAAGATATAGAATATTTTGAACGAGTCTTAAGTAAAAATGTTGAACATGAAAATTTGATGCCGAACCCGGTTGAATTTATTGAGATTGAAGATGATTCAAAAAATGATCCACTTTCTATACCAGAAAATGTAAATGAGTTGCCAAAATCTTATCAAACTGGCCAGAAAACCAAAGGTGTACAGGTTAATATCAAAAAAGCAGTGAAGAATAAATTCACTAATACCCCATCTTTATGGAAACAATCAAAAAATAAAAGACATAAATTAATCAAAATGAATGTAAATGAAAGTTTTACCTCGGACAGCGTTTCCCTTGCTACTACTTCTTCTTTCAAAGACACTGATGCTGATATCGAATCTCGCGACTTAGAATTTATTAAAAATGCAAATGAAATTTCGTTCAAGGAGCATATGCAAAAAGGAGCTTTAATGGCTGTATCTCAAGAGCCTAAACTTTTATTGGGCATTCCAAATCATTCTCAGTTCTGCTTAGAGTACTTGCAGAAATTCCTAAGTTTATCAAATCTTCAAATCATAGTAACTTTACGAAAAATTCGATGGCATGAGCCTAACACAATGCTTGCAATACATTTTGGTGTCTCTGAAAGTTTGATTTGTAAGTATATTCAAAAAGCTATTCCAAAAATTGCACAATGCATGAAAGAGCTTATATCCTTTCCACCGACCGAAGTGGTCAGGGATAACTTACCAATACCATTTAGAAAGCGTTACTCGAAAGTGACCTCAATAATTGATTGTTTCGAGGTGCAAATTCAAAAACCAAGTAATGCCACACACCAGGCATTAACTTGGTCGCAATACAAAAATTGCAACAACATTAAATTTCTGATTTCCATTACACCTGATGGAATGATTAATTTTATTTCTGAGGGGTATGGAGGGCGGACCCCAGATTCCACGATCTTTGAAGACTGTGGGTTTCTAGATGAACTCACATCTGGGAGTTTGGTTTCGGCGGACAGAGGATTCAAAAATATAGCCCATTTATTAGAACAAAAACAGTGTAAGCTTTTAAGACCACCTAGTGTGAGTTCAAGCTCAAAACCCAAAAAAGAGGAAGTGTTGCAAACAAAGAAGATTGCTGCGTTGAGGGTACATGTTGAAAGAAGCATTAGAAGATTAAGAGACTTTCAAATGGTTGGACCTCATGCAACTGTCAACATTTCTTATATTCAACTATTGGATGATATAGTGGCAATAGCCTGTGGTATTGTCAATTTGCAGGACTGTTTATTTAAAAGTATATCTGAAAAGTAAATAAAAATCATTTTTATCTTCTATAATGCGTTTATAGTAATCCCTATTAGAAAGTCTACAAAAAGAAATTATGTGTCGATTAGTTTGGGGAATATATATTCCTTCCAAAATGTTCTTGCCTTTACAATAAGATTCATACAGTATTCGTTATCATATTCCACTTCCAGTGTATCCACTTTTTGACTGTTTTCAAAATCTACATCTGCTACACAAAATAATCCTTTGTTTCTGTTACAAAAAAACATTTGTAACTGTATTTGAGCTTTTGATATTTACGTCAAATCATCATTTTTTACAAAACTTTCTTTTCCTTTTTTTTAGTCATTGCACATTTTATCTCTACTACGAGCTCAGGTGTAGAACCAGTCTAGTCAAACTAGACGACAACAATACGCAAGTCCATGAGATTGAAATGAAATTAATCATATCGTCGGGCACTTTTCTTACTTACCTACTAGCAATGTGCCGTCCGTTGCCTACTAACAATACTAGGAACTAACTCCCAATAAGATTTCCGACTGGCAATGCACCCAGAAACATTGAGAAGAATATTCCCGGTAACATGTTCATATCCATAAACCTTACTGGAAATATTCCCGGGCCTGAATACGACCCTGCATTCCTGACCTACTTATTATCCTGCTGTTTTGATTAGGTTGATAATGAGATTTGCTTACCTCTGAAGTTTCCAACCACGAATTTCAGCGCTTGTGTAGTTTAAATGATTACTAAGATAATCAAATACCATGAAGGTATCAACTTTAGGTAGATTATCGGATTGCGCTTGCTCAAAACCGATATCTATCTATATTTATCTATCTATATTTATGTTTTAGTTTCTCAAGGACTATAAAACTGCATTTATAACATAAAACCATTACGGGTCCCCATTGTAAGTATAAGATGATTTTTTATCTCCCTAGATTGTAAACTGTAAAAATAAATCGGACTCATGTGCGAACGCACAACGCGCTTGTTGGTCGACGGTGACGGTGTCTTCTAGCATCAGCTTTGCATATTGGCGATAACAATTCAGTTTTTTATTGAAATGAACATATTTCCTATATATTATTAGATAATTTAAAACACCATTATCATTTAAAATAGATTATGGAAGGCACCGACAGTGTCGATAGTGTAGGTTCTAATTACGCAAGATAGAATAAGTAAGCCGCACTGGTTAGTATAAAATTATTTATTATAATTATTATTTCATACCATATAAAATCTAAAGGTTTGAGAGAATTCGTTTGTATTTTTATTTATGTAACCTTCCATAAAAATTACAATCTTAATGAACCTATTGATTTACTGTGTACGTGCGAATTTATACATAAAATTCTATATAATAATTAAGGGACCAATACTTCTCTGATTAATTGAGCTATCCATATATTTTACGTTGATTACGTGTTGGCTGGGATTGTAAGTTTGAAATGCGGCAATACGAGTATAAACACTCATTCTCTCAGTATTTATGAGTATAATATACTGCTATACCGATTCGGATACACAGTCAAAACCGTTTACGACGACATCGTTTAGAACAACATACCGGTTATATTGACCAAAAACCCGGCTGAATTCTATTGTATTAGGTTCTTAATAACAACATCATCGGCTGTTACGAATATCGGTTTTTACGACCAAATATGAGTAGACCCTTCGATGTTGTTATAACAGATTTTGACTGTATATAAATATATATTCGACCCAGTAGGTACTTCAATGAAATCCGTAAGCTAAATTGCTTTTGGTAGATCTCTATAAAATGTTCTCCCAATGTTCATTCATATGTATGAAAACTTTTTGCTGTTAACAAAAGAATTGCCTCACCTCAGGCTTATCCCCATTCTTGTCTTGGCCGCATTTATGTTTTTCAAAATCTTCCATTTTCAAAAACATCTTCTTGCATAATAAGCAATTCAATAATTTTGTATCTGAAGTAAGACAAACATTATATCTAAGCTTGCTAGTCTATTATATCTAAGATTTTAATAAATTTTCCACAATAGGGGCAAACCTTTTTTGTTAATGATATATTTTTTATAGAACAGGGACAAACGGGCAGGAGGCTCACCTGATATTAAGTGATAGCGACGCCCACAGGTTGTAGGCTCGCGAGTGCATTGCCGGATTTTAAAGAATTGGTAATACTGTGATACGCTGTTATTACTATATATATTGTATATCTTAAGTACGCACCAGAAAAAATCAAGCCTCAAAATTGGCCAACAAATACTGGACCAAGATATATTTTGGACGGCTTTATAAAGCCAAATCACTCAAATTAAACATTTAATCAGACAACAGCGGTCCTTGAATATTTACCTGAGTGATCAGATTTCACATGCGAGTCTAAATCATCCTTTGACCTTAGCTGCTGCGAACAAAAGGTGCAGCTGAACTTCATGTCTGTCACCCACTTGACATGTACACCATTTTCCGAGAGTTTATTAAGAATCGCCTGAAAAAGTTTAAACGATATTGAAACTTTATTTTCCACGTTACTGAACGTAACTTCCCTTAAGATTTAATCTGAAGATTCGTTGCTGGTGCTGTCTGCATTATTGAAATTCTTCAAAAGGTTACGTTTTCTTTTCGGGGTCACCAGTGAGAGATCTTTGTAAGACGGATGAAGTCAATATTAGTTATGTCCTACCTTTGTCTTACTTTAATAAAAATTCAGTGTATAAATATATATTATTTATTACGAGCGATAGGTGAACTGGTAGGATCTAGACTAGCGAACGTTACAAACAAGGCAAACAGTTATAACTACTACGCACAAGTACAATATTATTGTGTGAGTGAATATGATGTCACTACAGGTATTAAGAGGCTAACTACGTTTCAACACTTGAGCACCGCAATGCGTAAAGAACTTTTTCCTTTCTACACTTTCGGCCACCAAATCTAAGCATTTATTGGGGTCGTGGCTATAATAAAACGTGGGTCCATACACAACATATATCTAATCCATTTATTATCCTAATATAGATATTTTAGTACATTTCCGACATATTCCCAAGCTTAGTTTATTCTAAATGAGTGTGTGTGTTTGTTGAAAAATAAAGACCAAATAAAACATACCGTTGTGCCAAGTCTTTTGGGACGGCCCCTTTTTTTAGGACCCATAATGTCAGCATGATGCTCCCACATGTGACTAGTCAAACCATCTGAGTTTAGAAAGCTTGTGGCGCAAAGAGGACAATATGTACCACCATCTTTATCTGTAAATAATAGATTTACATAGATACTTATAATGTTCTTTATAACAAGTACAAAACCATATTTGAAAAAAAAATTAATCACAATATTAAATACTCAGTATTATTATTATGTATATAAACACACTAGCAGCTTAATAAGCTGAGATTTGGAGAAACTATCCAATCTATTTTTAAAGGAGTTCAAAGATGGTGCACTGATTACACTTTCCGGAAGCCTTTTCCAGTCGGCCACTACTCGGTTTGGGAGAAAGTTCTTTAGGGAATTTGTGATATGTTGAGTGGTCTTAAGTTTTAAAGAACTACCCCTCAAATGTGTATTTTCACTTAAAATAAAGAGCTTCTCAATTCCTGGAACATTATAGTATGTATGAAGTGAATTTACCTGAAGTTGGAATTTTATCTGTTTTCTTTTTTTCATTGATATTTGTCTCTGCTTCAGTTTTAATGTTGTCTGAAACGAAAATTTTAAATTTCAGTTTGGAAGAAATGTATGCATAATTGTAACCATTTAACATTTATAAACAAAATTTAAAAGCTGTGTATTAGATACTGTATTTACATCCTATAATGCTTAAACATAAAAACACATACAAGAAATTAAATTAAACAGAGGTCATATTTCATAGTATGCTTTGAGCTAAAATTACTCAAGATTATTTCTTGAGATAAGCCTTAAAGCTTCAGGGCCGTATTTTCGCTGATGATGTATTTTAACAATAATATTAAAAAGAGTACTATAAGTTATGTTTTATTTTTTATTTTTAACCAACATTATATTAATCATTTTGAATGGCCAAGCATTGGAACCAATTCTACAAAATATTATTACTGCAGTAATAGTAATATTAGGCTTAGTTTATTAGATGCTACAACTATCAAATTTACTACATTTATACTTTAAATTATTCTTCTAATCTAGGGACCATACAAATATAATTTTTGTAATTCTCTCTCATTTATTTAGTATTATGTAAAGATATTCAAGGTACATACCAAAAGATTCAAAGTCATTTGTAAACTCAATCTCAAAATCTGTCGAGTCCATGAAGTCATCATCAGGTTCATGTTCCATTTTTACAAACTTATCTTCACACTGAAAATAGGACAAATATAAATAAAAAGATAATAACAGATCTTTACAACATTGTACTTTTAAAGAAAACACTTTTTTACCTAATTGAAGATTTGTATTATTATAAATTTACAATTATTTTACATAATTTTAAATTTTTCAGACGTTAGCATTGTACTTAACCAGGAATGCAAAATTAACCTTGAACTAGTACAGTTTTGCAAATAAGTGATAATTCTAATCCTTACCACTTTTTCTTCATGCTTTGTTTTCTTGTAACTTTTACGAAGGTTGGTGTCAGCTTGTATAGATTGTAGTTTAAAATCATATGCATTTGTAGCTTTTTCTTTGCACACATAGCATACGCTTGTCGGAAAGCCATCACCCGTTTCTATCTAGATCACAGAAATGGTCATTTAAACATTTATGTATAAGTCAATTGTGTATGTAGAAACAGATTCTTGAGGTAACTGTGGAATTTGTTATTTGGTATAATAAATTATACAAAAAAACACCCTGCAATGCAACAGCTCTTGGTCAGCATTCGTTTCCCATGCGTCTCAGGTATGTCGGTTTCCACACTATGTTTTCCTCCACCAGACATGCGAGTGTGAAATGTGCACATAAACAAAACAGTTTATTGGTGCACAGCCGGGGTTCGAACTTACAACATCACGAATGAGAGTCGCAAGCAATAAATTGTACAAATTTCGTGACAATATTTGTAAATCAGTCATTTTAATTTATATAATTATACGCAGCAGCAACAGGAATTAGCAAAGGCGTGTATATTTCGCATAAAGTCGTCGCGACCTAGCTATTCGCAATGCTTGACAACATCCTTAAAAATATAGTACTAAATAACTTTTATTACCTTTATCCCAGTTAATGTGGATATAATGTTTTCCAAAGTGGAATTTGAATATACTTCGTACACAGAAATTAACTCAATTTCCTTTGTAAGACATGTTCGACATAACTCTTCGACTTTAACCTGTGTTGAAACCATGTTTACGTGTCTAGTCGATAATTAAAATTTAAAAATGACCCTTATAACATTATACTACATTAATAATTATTTAGAATCGCTTTCCGAAATCAATATTAAACCTTGTTTAAAATTGCTAACACAAAACACACTCGATTTGGCTTTAAAATTCAGTCAAAGTGACAGACGACAGTAGACATTTCATAAAAGTGTTATTTTTTTTGGGATTTTACGACCTGGTATAATACAACCTTTAGGTCAAATTTAAATTCATTAGAGGCTCACGGATACAAGAACTTCAGCTAAAATAATAGAACATAAAATACAAATAACGAATTGTATGGCCCGTCCTCCTGACAGAGTGGTTGAACAAGTGGAGACTGGCCGCAAACCCAACCATGACACAGGGCCAGGTGAACACCTACGTTCGCACTCCGCTCTATCCCTACGTTTCCTGCACCAAGACGTGCCGTGGAAGACACCGGTCGCCTATTTAGGGGTCACCATTAACCGGAAGTTTGACACCTCCGGACACGACACCAGGACCTAGTCGAGCCTGTAACAAGTGTTTTTGTTTCAAGTCCTAGTTCTTTTACCACACTGAATGATAATAAACATTGTAAACTACTTTTTACGAAGTTCAATTTTTTTAGAAGTCTATTATTAAAATTATATTAACATTTTATCAGATTCTAAAGGGAAACTTCCTTATAGTGCCTCATTTGTTATCTGTACGTTCTTAGCGTAGGTTAACAAATGTCAGTTCTCAATTAACTTAGTCGAATTGTCATATTGATGTTAAGGTCTTTATTACTTTAGCACCTTCGTGTGAAAGTTTTGTTTTGATAAGTTTCAAAAGTTTGGCTCTATTTAGTTCTCTTGCTGAGCTGGCGCAATTAGTTAGTGATAAGTGTGATTTAAAAATATATTGTTAGTAAATGTGCATTTAATTGAACTACCGAATGGACTTACATAATACACAGAATTTTAGAATCATCAAACTCTTAGTGCTTATTTAAATGTAAATTATTTTACTTCGAAGCTTGCTTTTCAGAGGTAAGTACATTAAATCTCTCCATTTTTAATCATCTATAGTTTGTAGAAATATTGAACAAAAGTAAGTTCGTTTTAATTATTAAGATCCAGATCTTTATTTTATTATTCTTCCATTCTTTAAACTGTTGAGTATGAAAAAATAATTAAGGGTGATAAAATGTATATGGTCCTTTTTCTAATTCAAAAAATCCTTATTTATAAAACAAAATTTAAGTTGTTAAAAATTAGTACTTAAGTACTATTCCATAAGGGAAGCCCATTTTTTTATTACAGATAATACTAAAATTCTGTGTTTTTGATTTTTGTGTGCATAAAGTAGTAGAAAAATCTTTTAAAGATGAGGTATTAAAAATAAAATTCTATATTTTAAAGTAGTTTGTAGACCATATACATATTTTATGGATTTTGTCAGTACAGTTTTTGTTTTATTCTACAGATCTAGTTTAAGTTAATAACTTTAATCTCTGAAGCATATTATACAAACATATACAATATTACAAGAAAATTTTATCAAAAATTACACAAAGTGGGACAAATTATTATTTCCTATTTATTCCTAGACATTGAAGAAAAATGGTGAAAGGCACCTATGAATTTTCTAAAATTCGAATTTTTCCTCTGTAAAAACAAAAACACTCCGCTTGAGCTGCTTCAGCATATTATGTATATCTATTAAATTGGACTCATTATAACCTATATAATATGGTTATTTTGTTGTAAAGTAATTAATTATTTGCGAAAGTGTTTTATAAACACGGCAATAATTCTTGTTCAAATAAATATAATATTTCGCATTTAATTTTAATAACTCGGCAACTAAATAATTATAAATGTATAAATATAATTATAAAGTCCCACGCGCGGATTGGATGTCAAATTAACGCGGGTTAATCCGTAGGGCCCATTTGGTAGCAATATAATAACTATACAACTACGCTTACTATAGATAATTACGTATAGTTTTTATGTCATTATTACTTTGTTCACGCCATGTAACTAAAATACCATTTTTGCACTAATATTAAAATGTTAACAGGACGAGACGATATTCTCTTTCTGCCTTATGAGTGCTCATACTCTGTAACTTCCATAGCATACCTACAGAGTACACTGTACAGCGATCTTGTTCCTAATAACGAGCTTTATTTCGGCGCGATTCTAAGGTTGCGACATCAGCGCTACGGATATTGGGAGAACTACATCGAACTTGGTTGAACAAAGGTTGGGATCTGGGTGCTGTCCCTATTGGGCGTTACAGAGTACACTGTACAGCAATCTTGTTCCTAATAACGAGCTTTATTTCGGCGCGATTCTAAGGTTGCGACATCAGCGCTACGGATATTGGGAGAACTACATCGAACTTGGTTGAACAAAGGTTGGGATCTGGGTGCTGTCCCTATTGGGCGTTACAGTGTACGGACCCAGATGTCATGTATCCAACTTTCAACTTTTTACGCCCTAGCTCAATAAGTCCTTACTTCGTAGCTTCGCCATTTCGTTAGTACAGGAACTATTCTTTCTTGTAGTAACGAAATTTCTGTACGGTTGTACGGTGTTACAAAGAATTCTCTTTTCTATGGGTAGATATAGATATCCATGGATATTTTTTTTTAAAGAAGTCAACTGTTGATATCATATCCCTATCTGTTATGTTGTATAATATCTGGTATAATTAAATGCCAAGTTATGATTAAAGAAGGTCTTTGATTAAAATAGGTATTGCCTTGCGGTTAGCTCGTCTTCCCTCCTACTGTGCTCCCAGATTAAAATATGATTAGGTTTCAGTATCAATATGATGTTGCTCTCCGCGTTTTTCGCTTCATCAAAAGCAGCAGCACCAGGAACCGCTTTTTAAATATTTATAGGTGTGTGTATGTAATGTACCTAAAGGTGTGGCATGTTTATTTCAGAAATGTTATTTTTGATATGTATCTGATCTTTGACATTATTATCTTAGCGATTATTGTAGTTCATAATTAATGCTACATATGATATATCACTCACTCTAATTCATATTTTGTAAAATAATACGCCGGGGATCTTTCGATCCTGTGATAAAATTAATATTATATTATGTGGAAAGCGTAACAGTCAGCTGTTATTTCCAATTAAATATTATTTATTTAATACAATATAAACGAACGAAAGTCAATAAACGGTAGCCATTTTGATTGTTGTTATCTGCACAGATGTAATTATAAATAATTACTTTTATTAAAAAAAAGTTAGAAGCTTTAAAAGTACCGGGACGATCTGTGGAGAGGATTAGTGATTAGATATTTCTATGGCCCTTTCGTATTCATTGATGGTTCTGTCACCAAAACAATTAAAGTAAATAGACAAACAACTGCTATTGGGAAACTGTAACTCTCGAAGTAATTACACATTTTGACGTTAGATGTTTAAAGCTGTATCAAAATGAGAAATGATTACATAATAATTCGAAATGCTAAAAGCTGCCGCGAGATGGCGCTTTAAAAATCCTTCCACCTCTAAACCTGGGCGGAGTGTGGCGTAGGCTACGTTTCCAAGCTTTGAATAGGATGCGAAATTATATAAAGAATCTTGTTATGGGATGCGAAAATTAAAATTTATAAAAATGTTCAGAAGTAAGAGACACCACGAATTACATAATTGGTCAATATATCATTTCATAAAAGAGGAAATTTATTTTTATTGTATTGGGCTGACATAGAAAATACATAGTAAACATAAGTATATTTTAAAAGCATACTTTAAAACTTAATTGGTAGACTTCTAATGTATACATAATATGTAAGATTATTCGTAAATAAATTGATACATTTTATTTGAATTGCAAAAAATATTTTAAAATATGTAGTTAAAGATAGATATTTAAATATAGCGATTAATCTTAAGGAAACACCCATATTTATACATTAAGCTAATAAATATTTCGCAATTTATAAATCTTACGCGTATAAAGAGCTAGATTTATATAGTGTCTAACCATAGTAGTGCAACATACAGTGCTTGATCGCATTAAGGATAAACAAACAGTATTTTGGTACTATGTGGTTTCATAGAATAGAAACTGCATGAAACATATGTTACAGTTTTTGTCAGTTGAAAAAGACGCAACTTTAAAAATCATACATAATATAATATATAAGGCTTGCGTATACACACAAGAAATAATCGGAACGCTTCTATGACTATGACTCACTCCATTACATGTGGAAAGAGATAAAATATATAATAAATACTAAATACCAGTAAAAAATTACACTTATCGTAATCTTTATAGTGTAATTTTCATACAAATTTCAAATGCAGTAAGATAATTTATCGTCTTATTATTCGTTTTAAATAGTAAACTCTAATTATTGGGAGTTTTTAGTATTGTTTTTGAAGTGAACCTTCTTTAGGCGCATGAGGGTAAATTTTTACGAAAACGTCACGAAGATGTGCAGCGTTTTTGTCGAAGAAAAGGGATAAATTTAAAAAAAAAATTTACAATCTTTTATTAATTTTCGACACTTTTAATATTTCAATGACAATTAAATTCATTATCCCCACATCCCTCTAAGTTTTAGATTGCTATAAATATGAACAAGACTTAGAAATTAGTTTGCCAAAGAAGTTTCACTTCTGACATGTGTACTTTGTTCGCTTTTTTTTCTTCGAGGTTAATTTATATAATTGTTTTTTATATATGTTAACGTGCCATTTGGTAATTTTGATATAAGTGACAGTGGCAAGTCGGCAACAATACTGGTTATCAGAATCAATACTAATTCAACGCAAAATATTGTTCATATCCTACAGCCAGTAACAGGTTGCGTTGTCTCATGTAATGACTTGAACTTACGGTCTTGTAGAAAAGGGCCGAAGATACATTGAAATCTTTGCGTTTTCTTGTTCTAATAAAATTATTAACGTCGTAGACAAATCTCTTCACGTCTCGACTGTTCGGGTAGAGATGTACGGGGAAGGCGCATGGTCGCCGTACACGCTGGTAGAGTAACGACTAACTCCACTTTCTGTAGGTATAAATTTATGAATACCACCATCTCGTAGTATGTAGTGCGTGATATTAATGGCTAAACAGTATACACGCCGATTTAATGCTATCTATATATTAAAGATTTTAGGATTTGGAAATATGAAATTAAAAAATCGTATCTACACTAAATTGTTAATGTTCTAAAAATGTAAAATAAATTTTAGCGAATATTTGTAATAATAAAATCTTGACATTTTACCCGTAGATGATATCATGGGCTTCTGCTTACTGTGGCCCCATCACAGTTTAATCAGAATTTTCGGTATATTTATTTTTATATAAACATTGTTAGGTTATTACTTTTGTCTCCGCTGTCACTAAAGCAATAAAAAAAAAGTAGTTGCAGTAAAGGTAAACTGGAATAACAGACCTTTCACCTTGCCTTTTCTCTAATAGTTATGTAGTACAGGGCCGCTTAATATAACTATTTTTTAAACTACATAAAATTCTACATAATCTTTGCAATG